CGTTGATAAAGATATTAAACAAGACTGGCCCCAAAGCTGAGTCTTGGAGAGGAGCATTCTGATACTGGGTATTAGAACAGTATGAAAAGCTGACATTGTCTCTGACATAATGAGTAGAGTGTTTAAAATCCTTGGAAGCGTATCATTAGCCTCCTTTCGAGACTACAAATTCTGGTCTCATTAGAGGATGCTGATAATTATTCTTAAACTGGCACCATCATTATGAAAGCAGACGAGTCCACTGAAGTCAGTGCCCTGAGGAAGAACCACAAATATGCTGAATCTTGAGAGTTAACTCTTGACAGTTAAACTCTCACATTTTAGAGATCTGCCTTACAGTTAGGCAGCTCTGACTTCAGTGGAGTCCATGCCTGTGTCAAGAAAAGAAAGCATTCATAGTCTGTAAAGATGTGGTATTTGTAAGTTTTGAGCACTGTGCATTGGGAATAAATCAGCTGGAAGGAGTCCAGATAAACAGCAATGACAGTAATCAGGGATCTATAAAGCAGGGAAGGCTTGAAGAAATTATTCCATGTCATAACTCATAAAGTGACTGCACAATACTAGAAGTTGTAAAAGAATAAATGCAAAGTTCTGTTTAAGACGAAAAGCTCAACAAAATGCCAGTTTTCAAAGGCTATACTGTTACTGCTTCTACACTCAATTTTCTGAGGAAAGAAGTTATATGTCAGTCCTTCCTAGTCCTCTGCCATAAGAAAGGTATTTACAGAAAGGTACTTTAAAGATCCAGAATAATCCAAACAAATATTTTTCAGTCCCTATAAAGACAATGCACATAACTCTTTCTATTTGTAAATAAACTACCCTGCTAGCAGAGTCCACCTCAGAAAACACAAAGGCATGAGTCACACAGACGTATTAAGCTGACCACCTCTGAGACATTCCAGAACAAATACACAGATTTAGCACAAAGTTTCAAACAAGTTCTGGAACATCTGTGAAGCCCTGTCTCACACCAAAGCACAAACAAGCACCAGCACTCATTGACCCATGATCTGCTTGTAGTTAAGAATTAGGCTAAGTTAAAGGATACTATTTCTTCCAAAACAATAAAAAACACCCCTTAGATTCATTGTATATAACCCATACCTCTATGCCAACAGAACAGAGATGGCAATAAAGACACAGCAGTTACTGAGCTGAATTGCAGGGTGAAGTGCATGGGTTTCACTGGGGCCCTTTAACTTGTCTGCAAGTACTACAGAACAAATCCTGTCTGTGATAGACCTTCTGTGACAACCACAGTATATGCTGTCTAACTGCGCTAACATGCGGTCCAGAAAGAAGGAATAAAAGTACATCCCTGCATTTTATATACATATGCCATGTGCACTTACTGTCTGAACTCAACATGTAGATAAATTTCTTGCACTGTATTGATCCAAAAGCAGTCACTGCACAGTCCATCCAAAGACCTTCAGAAATCCAGTCTGCAGTAACTAGCACTGTTGCGGTGTCTGAAGTTTTCCATCTGTTAGACATGGTAGTAAAAATTAAAATGGTGAATCCTGTTACAGCCAGCAGCAATGCACAAATCTGTAGAGACGATGATGCCATTCTTCTGACAGAAGTTGTTTTCAAAGACGCCTCCCAAAATTTCTGATATTAGAAACCTGTTAAAACAGTTTATACACATACAGTATATGCAGTTATCTTTACACAAGCCTGACCTTTATGAAAACACCAAAAGATGCCGACCTACAAAATAATTTATTGCATAAGGGAGTTGTAGAACTGGAATCTAAATCTCATTAAATAATTGGAATACTTAAATATGCTATGACATCTAACTATTTTCTTAGGAACACCTTTATTACCATATATGTTTACCACAAAAAATACCAACAGAGCAATAACAGGAGACCCAGCTGAGGAATTCTCTAATTTGAATTTGCCATGTTTCATCTGCTCTTTACTTGTGTGCTAACTCAAAATTATTTTAAAATTAAAATTATCAAATGCTTTAATACATTGTTCATCTCCCAATTACAATGCCTATCAATACAAATTTAAAATAAAATAAATTTTGATACTCACGTTTACGATGTTTCTAACCTGTTTTCGTATACCTTCCTGCTAGACGCTAGTGTCAGCACTTTGTGAAGACCAGTTTGATCAAACAAATGACAGTTTCGTACTCTTTAGGACCTTTCCCCCCATTCTAAAAATCAAGGACCCAGGGCCAGAGCTCTGCCCAACTGTTGCACAAAGGCTCAGGCATGGCTTTTTGCTACAGCAAAGTTTCAGTGAAATGGATGACTCAAATAAGAAAATTACAACAAAATCATGTAAGTGAGTACCAAAGATGCTCAGATTAACCTGGCAACCATTGGCATATTAATTTGCTTTGTCAGTGCCACTGAGCTGCCCACACACCATCTAACTCCAAAGCAATACAGAAAAATATTATTATAATTTTCACAATGATAGTTTTACCTGAAACTTTTGTTGCACTTCTCACCAAGACACTGTTTTCATGAAAGGAGGCCTGTGTCCATATAAGACAGGCAAACAATTGAAGACAGGATTTGTTTTAGGAAGCAGCCCACACTGTGAAGGAATATGAAAGTTTTCTGCATATAAAAAGAAAAAAAAAAAAAAAAGAGAAGAAGAATTCAAGCCTCCTCCCATAATCATTCATTTTAAATGACTGCAACACTCAGAATTTGCACAAGGAAAGAAGGATTAAGTGTACTCGATTCTTAAAAAATGTGTATATTCCACTATAAAAGTTTAATCTCACATTGAGGAGGGATCATTTGTCTCTCAAGTGGTTGTGTAACCTCTTCAAAATGCACATAACTGTCAACAGAGAATATCTGGAATAAATGATAAATTTAAATTAAGCAACAAATTCAAGCAGACTTCACACCACATGGGCAGGCCAAAAATCCAAATGAATGTTTCTGCCTATTACATAGGTATGACCCTTGCAACCCCAATTCATTCCTGGCAGTAAGGAAAAGAAGATAAAACTATATACTCTGCACCATCACTATGGGTAGGACATATGTCAGAGTTGTAAACATAAATTCTCATTAAAATACAATAAATTAACTCTTTGCAGGTTTCAAAATGAGGAAGCTTGGAAACTAGATTTCACAAATACAGAATATCAACCTTCCTCCACCCTGACCCAAATTCAACCATGTTACAGCAGGACTACAAATACCACTGTAAGAGTCCTTCTCCCACCCTTAAAACAACTGTCCCATATTACTGCACCTGTTAGAGGTGATATAACATCCATGAGCTCCTCACTGTGGGTGTGCATTCCTCAACAGAAAGGTGCACATGTGGTCTGAATCTAGACGGTGACATTTCAATTCAATACACAGAGAGATGTAAAGTGGCAAGAAGAATAAACTTTGACAGTATGGTGCACAACGGACCAACTGAAAAGTGTTTTATTTTCCAGATCTTCTTAAGACAAGCATGCAAAGAAAACCTTTACTACTTGGAAAGCAAAGCACGCAGTGCTGGTATTTGAATCCTTAGGGGCCAGGGAGCAGGTCTGGTGTCTCAGTGAGGATGGGAGCCCAGGGATGGGTCACATTATCAATAGGCCACACAAGGCAGGAGCAGAGAGCCCTAGAGCTTCTTCTGAAATGTACATCTCCAGTGGGTAAGACAAAGACCAGTGAAGAAAAAAAAAGAAAAGAGGGTGTGTGTGTGTTTGTTTAAACAAATCCATTTTATTTATCTTCTTTATATTTCCCTGGCAGCATTTAAGCCCTGCAATCAGTAATCAGTGCAGACAGACACCCATCCAGTGGATCACATTAACAAAACTGTTTGTGATTTCAGACATGCCTTGTGGTAGGACAGACCTCCCTGGCTCCTGGCCAAAGGAGGTCTGAGCTTGGCTGGCTCTGCAACTACTTTGCTGCTGTTGTTCCTCCTCTCTTTGTCTTCCTCTGCCCAAGGAGCCACTCTCACTCATCCTTTCCTGACCCTGCTGCTAACACACAAAACCCATGGGACAGTCCAGACAATACCTTATTCCCTCTGGGCCACCAGTCATGCACAAGACTGCAGTCCCCATGCGATGGCAGTGTAGATTTCTTATGACTCTTGTAGTTTTAACGATAAAAGTAATGCCACCGAATGCGTTGCTTTAACAGGGTAAGAGTTCACTAATAGAAACCATCTACAAAAAAGCAGCTTTCAAAAGCAAATAGCTTGTTACTTCAGCTGACACCACATCCATCCTCCTCTTTCAACTTGTACCACGTACACCCTACCCTTCAGGACTTGATCGTACTAGCTGCCATTCACTGTCACCATTTATAGATTTAAGATAATGGCAAAACTAATAGCAAATATGCTTTCCAACTGTCCAAAGGAGAATGACCATAAACCAAAAACAAATAAATACATAAAGCCCAGAGCATCATCCCTCATAAATAGCACACATAGACTTACACAAATAAGAGCAGTCATGTGATAAAACAAGCCCTGGGGGAGCAAAAAGATCACCTTAACATTAAAAACAGCACAGACAAAATGTATGTGGTTTGAACACAGGACATGAAGGGTTAACAAAGAAAAATATTTAAGTCACTTAAACAAATCACTCCTGATAAGGTCTCTGGAGGCAAAAACGAGTGATAAAAGTGTCTAAACTGGAAAGTTAAAAAACTCTTTTACTTCTTTTTCATTTTGTTACATAGAAAAACAGAGACAGAGCATTGATTACAACACTAGTTTCATTTACATATGTATATATACATTTTTAACACCAGCAATATATGGCTTTGAACCTGCTAATCGTTTCTTAGTTCAAGCAAACTCTGAGGCTGACCCATGGCCAGCAGTGCAATCAGAAAGAGATAAAATGCAGGTTTAAATACAGTACTAAACCACTCAGAGTAGTCTCCCACCACTAACTTACAGAGGTTTCCTCAGGTCAGCGACTGGCCTTGAGTTGAGGAGGCAAACTCTTTTGCTGCTTCTTAAAAAAAAAAAAAAAAGAAAGAAAGAAAAAAGAGACAGTGTTAATTCCTTTCCCCTCCACTTCCAAATGATTTGCCTTTGTAACCATGCTCCTGAAGTTGCTGTAAATTACTAGTAGTCTAATCAGGCTTACAGCCATTTGCAATTACAATATGCAGTTCATTCTCATCTTGCTATTAACTTTCCCTTCCCACAATGAACTACAGAATAATTTGGGTTGGAAGGGACCACATTGACACCAACCTCTTGCTAAAGCACAGCTTCAACATTGGGTCAGATCGCCCAAGCCTCATGCAGTCACAACAGAGTGGCCTCCAGGGCTGCAGACAGCACCACCGCTCTCCGGTGGAGTGTGTTCCTCACACCCACGCAGAACTTTTCCTGCTGCAACATGTGGCTGCTGCCTCTTATCCTCCCTGCACCTCTGAGATAAACCACTGTTTATTCAGCTGCTTCATTCTGGCAGCTCTGCACTCTGATCTCTGGAGGCCCTGGCGTGACTGGCCTTTAGGGTGCTTGGCCGTCCCATTAGTATCTCCACGGCAACACAGAGAACCAGAAGGGTGCATGAAACTTCTAGAAACCTACCAATTGCAAATTATTTTCAAAGCAAACACACCTATTTTCTTTTTCCATTTAATTTCAGGAGGGTGTCAGTATTTACAGCAGCAGCTGAGCAGGGACTGCTCTCTGCCAGCAGGATGCTTCACCAGCCCTGCAGAGAGCCCCCGGCCACACTGCTGGCATGAAGCTTGCGCCAGGAAGAGCAGCACAGTGCCAGAGACTGGGAGCCCCAGCCAGCAGCGAGAGGACCACAGGGCACCTGCGGGCACCCAACCCAGGCGAGGGAGAGCGTGGCGAAGAGGCCTGAAAGGAGGCTGTGGGGCAGGAGCAGCTGCCTTGCGCCTGCTCAGCCATGCACGGCCCTTCGCTGGAGCAGTCCGATGGTGAGGGGAGGCAGGACAGAGCAGCGAGGTGAGGAAAGGTGGTGAGGCGTGGTGAGGTGGAGGCACATGGCAGAGCAAGGCAAGGCTGAGGCAGCAGCCCCAGCCTCCTCCCTGCCTCCTGGGCTGCTGCAGGCTGAGCTCTCGGCTAGGAGGAGACAGGATCTGTCTATTCCAGAAGGCTTCTAGAGAAAAGGATGGATTAAAACCGTGGAAACACCTCATTACACGGTGCCAGCCCTACCCGCTAAGGGGGCGCGGGAGGTCAA